GCCCCCTGCCCCGGGCCCGCGCATGAATCTCCTGGACCCCTTCATGAAGATGACGGACGAGCAGGAGAAGGGCCTGTCCGGCGCCCCCAGCCCCAGCATGTCCGAGGACTCGGCGGGCTCGCCCTGCCCGTCGGGCTCCGGCTCCGACACCGAGAACACGCGGCCCCAGGAGAACACGTTCCCCAAGGGCGAGCCCGACCTGAAGAAGGAGAGCGAGGAGGACAAGTTCCCCGTGTGCATCCGCGAGGCGGTCAGCCAGGTGCTCAAGGGCTACGACTGGACGCTGGTGCCCATGCCGGTGCGCGTCAACGGCTCCAGCAAGAGCAAGCCGCACGTCAAGCGGCCCATGAACGCCTTCATGGTGTGGGCGCAGGCGGCGCGCAGGAAGCTCGCCGACCAGTACCCGCACCTGCACAACGCCGAGCTCAGCAAGACCCTGGGCAAGCTCTGGAGGTGAGCACCGCCGCCCCTGGCCTCGGGGGCTGCAGGCGAGACTGGGGCGGCGGCCTCCCGCCCCGGACGGGGACTGCCTGGACCCTTCGCCTGGGGCCGCCGCCTCCTTGGAAGGCCCAGGGTGGGGACCGTGCCCGCCCTTCCACCACAGTTGCCCCCGCGGGGCTCCGCGCGCTGCCCACCCTGGAACTACCGGGAACCCCAGCGGCCTAGGCCGGGTCTCCCACCCGGGGCGCGGGCGGGAAGGCGCCCCCTCGTGGCTGGAATTCTGCCGGGCAGGCCGTGGGGCCTCCCAGGCGGCTTCCTGGGGAGAAGGGATGGTGGAGCGCTCCCCACCAGAGTTCTTGGCTACACTCTCACACACACACACACACACACACACCCTCAAGAAGGCCATTGCCACCGGCTCCAGTGGTCAAGAGGATTTGGGGGAGACACCTGGGAAAGAACCAAAGGCCTGGCTGGAGATGCAGGGAAACTGAGGCAGTCAGCTGGGCAACTTGAGGAGGTTCAAGGAAAGCAAGCAATCAGAGGAGAGTCTGAAAGAGTGAGGGACGGAGAACTGCCAGGACAGATGCATCTGCTGCTGCAGCATGGGCCTTCCTGATCCACCTGTCTTTCTGGTTGGGGGCTTCTTTGTCCTTCTGGGGAAGGAGCACACAGAATGGGGCTTCCCCTTCCTGCCCTCTCCTTCCTGCCCTCTCCCAGAGCCACCAAGCTGGTCTCTCTCTTCTTTCCTTTCTCTCCCAGTTGGGCGCCATCTTCCCTCCCAGGGCCCCACCCAACACTGAGCAACCTTTTCCCCCCAACCCGATAGCTGGAGTTGGCACCCTGTCCAGGAGGAAGCCTTGGTTCCTCTCCTGCCCAGGGTCTCCCAGAATTCCAGGCTCCCTGAGACCAGCCCAAACCTCTGGGGAAAAACATCCCCCCAGGGAAGAAGTCTGCCAGGCTCAGGTCTGGAGACCCCTGGGGATGTGTGGAACAGAGCAGCCCTCCACCCCACCCCAGAATTCCCAGGGGTACTCCAGAAGAGGACAGGGCTCCAGGAGATGCAGGCCTGCGGAGGTCACCTGATCTCCCACTAGACTGCCCAAGAGACAGGCCAGAAAAGCCAAGGAACCGCAAAGGTCACATAGCAGTTGGTGGCAGAGCCAGGGCCAGAACTCAGGCGTCCCACTCTTCGTCCAGAGGCCTTCCCCCTAGTGACAGTGGCGGGTCACCCTGCACTCTAAGGTGGAGAGGTGGGGAGGAACAGGAAGAGAAGAGCAAGAGGGAGGTGCATCCAGGTTCAGGAAGTTTGGGGCTTTGTCGGAGGAGCCGGCCTGCCTCCTGCTGCCCTCCCCTTTGCCGGCCCAGTATGGTGGAGATTGAGTCCAGCGAGCCAAAGGCTTAGAGGGGTGGAAGGAGCAGGAGGGTCCCCAAGAGACCAAGGGATTCGCATCCAGCTCCCTTGTCCTGTCCTTGCCATGTGTTTGCTGAAGGCCTGGTGCCTCCTCTCCTCCCCCGCTCAGCGTTCAGCACCCTGCTCATCTGGGGCAAGCCCGGGGCTCAGCAGCCAGGCAGCTGTGTAGACCCAGACAGCCCCGCTCTGCCCAAGAGCAGAGGTCACAACTAGCTCCTCTGCCCAAGGTCCATCCCGATCTGGCTTGGGCTCGGCCCAGGCCAGTGCTTTTGGTGCTGTGGGACAAAGAGAAGCGAGTGAGAAGCAGACAATAGGAAACAGGCAGACAGAGCAGGCCCTGGGGACTGCAGACCACAGCACAATCCCAACGAGAGCATTCAAGCAAGGGTGGACTCCCATTCTCCCTCCAGCTCCCGTCACTAAGGGTTTAAGATTGGTCCTCCATTGTCCCTGTCCTGGCTCCCCTAGCCCAGAGCCCTGGGCTTGGGTTCCCTTCAGGAGGGCTTTTTCAGGCCACCACTCAAGCTGTGTGTGTAGAGGCCAGCCTGGGGTGAGGCGGCCAGGAAAGCAGGCGCGACGTGCTAAGGACCCAACCCGGGTGGGGATGGGAGCAGCACAGCGGCAAGTATCAAAGGCACTGCCAACAGATGGTGGCTACCTGCACCCCGGGTGGGGTCCTTAGAGACATTTGGACGTGGGCTCGACTGGCCAGTTGCTCCAGAGGCTTATCCCGAAACCTCCCAAGCTTGTAACTCCCAGGATGTGAGGAAGGGGGGTGGTTAGGTAGGCAGAACTGGGAAACAGGGGTCCCAAAACTGGAAAGAGAAACACAGTGTGGAGTGCCTCAGGGCTAGGGTCAGACATATGGGAGCCAGGTCCTGAGCACCTGCGTAAGCCCCGGAAGTCACACTGACCTCTGATGCCCACCTGGGGAAGGAATGTGAGGTGATGATCACATGGTGGTGGTTGTGTGTTGGTTGACCTGCCAGAGCCAAGAAACAGGGGGTCACAAGCTGGAGCCTCTCCCCAGTGGCGGGGTTCACCCGGCCTCTCCTGCTCCCTCTTTCTACAGGTCCTTCCCCCAAGTAAAGTCTTCTTATGCCACTGGCCTGGCAGGAGGACAGATGGAGCAGCAGTCAGGGCCCCAACTCAGAAGCCCCCCCAGTTGGGTTTCCAGTTTGGGTGGGGCACCGACCTACCCTCTCCTCACCCTCATTTCAGTCCTGGGAGAGGAGGAAGGAGGGCTGAGGTGAAGGTACAAATGAGGACTGGCTTTGGAGCTTGAGCTGGGGGTGACATGGGGGTGGGTGGGGGAGTGGCAATGCCAAGTGAGCACTGGTGTTGGAGTCAGGACTCTTTGAGATTGGGTTTACATGGAGGGCAGGGTGGGTTTGGGGTTAGGAGAGAGCCTGAACAGAGCTGGGGCTGGAGTTGGAGGTGGAGTTAGCCTCTGCTGCTGTTGGAAGCAGGGGCTGAGGTTAGGGCTGGGGTCAGGGGTTGCAGTGCGCTGACAGCGGGATTCTGTCAGCGTTAGGCTACTGCTGGGAACTAGCTTGGGAGGCGACAGGGAATCCAATGTTGGAATCTTCCCTCTCTTCCAGCTTGTACAGTTCCTTCCACATCCTCTGCCACTTCCCTGCTGATTGCCAGCTGGGCAGGAGCGCAGGGAAGGATGGGGCAAGAGTGAGCTCAATGTCCCCAGCCATCCTGCAGCCTCTGTGCCAGCCATGGCTGGTTGAGCTGCTTGTCCCCTCTGTGGGCTCTCTCCAACCGCCTCGGGGCCTGTTCCACCCCCTCCCCTGGCCAGAGAGGGTTCCTGCATCTCACTCGCTGTTTTGAGGTCTCCATCCTAAATGGTACACTGATTCCCATAGAGTCCCGGCTAGAGAGACCCTCAGAGAAAGCTGGGGCTAGGGCTGGGCTCAGGGCAGGGCGGGGGGAGCAAACAGGGAGGCTAAGCTGCAGAGGAATGCTGCTGCCCGCTAGGAGGTGCCTGGTATGACCACCCCCTCCCAGCCTGGGGAGGGAGGGGTTGCCTTCTGCTGACTGGAAGAAGAGGGCACCCACTGGGGTGTGAGGGGTAGGGCAGCTGAAGAGAGGGGGCCCTCTGGAGAGAGACACAGTTGCTCCCACAAACACCCATGGGCTCTCTGTACTGATGCCTGGGAGTCTAGAATCTGTGGGCTTTCCCCTCAGTCCCCTCTGCGGGGCACCCCATCCTGCCCTCCTCACCCTGGGGCAGCCAAGCCCTGACAAGCCCCTCTACCCTCCACCCCTAGCCTGAGGCTGGAGTTGGGTAGGCAGAGGCACTGGCTTCAGCGCTCCTCCCTCCGTGGGCTGGTCTTGGAGACTGCCCCAGGGTCTGGGAAGACACTCTAGCTTCCTCTACCCTCTGTCATTCCCTGGACAAGGATGTAAGCTCTCCCTCAGGAGGCAGTGCACGCCCACAGTGAAGGGAACTCCCACCCACCTCCTCAGTCCCACCACACTGAATTCACAAAATCCACACTCCAGAGTGGATGAGACCCACTCCTAGGTCCTCCTATCCAATCGTCCCAGCAGCATCAGAAGAGCACCTATTTCTCAGGTCCCATCCCCTTCCGAGGCCCTGGTACAATGTACGTCACATCCGTTACTTAGGTCAACCCCACACCTCAGTGAAGTAGATACTATCATCTTCATTTTATAAGTGGAGAAACTCAGGCTCAGAGAAGTGACTTGCTCAAGGTCTCACACACACAGCCAGTCAATAGCAGACACTGGCTCCTTCCCCAGTCATCTGCACACCTGACGTCCCAGAGAGCTCACCTCCTAACAAGGCAGCCAATCCCACTTGCAGACAGCTTTGATGAGAAAATATTTCCCTTCCTTGAGCTGGCATCTGCCCCTTATAACCCCTACTCCTACTTCTAACTCCTCCTCAGGGGTGCCTGGAGCAGCAGACTGACCTCTCACTTACCCTCTAGCCCTGAAAGATTTGGGGGCAGAGATCCCAGGCTCTAAGGCTATTGTCTTGGGCCCCGCATCTCTCCATCCACAAACCACAGGGCACAGCCTTGTCCCAGACCCCATCCTCGGGGCTCCTCATCCCAGGGCCTCCTGTCTTCCAGGACAGACACTCAGAGGGAGGGCAGCCTGGGGAGCTCTGGCACTCATGCCAGCCCCTCTACTGTCCTCCCCTCGACCCCACCCCAGGCTGCTGAACGAAAGCGACAAGCGCCCCTTCATTGAGGAGGCCGAGCGGCTCCGCATGCAGCACAAGAAGGACCACCCAGACTACAAGTACCAGCCCAGGCGGCGGAAGAATGGGAAGGCAGCCCAGGGGGAAGCGGAGTGCCCCGGCGGAGAGGCTGAGCAAGGTGGAGCTGCTGCCATCCAGGCCCACTACAAGAGCGCCCACCTGGACCACCGGCACCCGGGAGAGGGCTCCCCCATGTCGGACGGGAACCCCGAGCATCCCTCAGGTGAGTGCTGAT